GGAAAGACTAGAGATTCTCTTTAGGAAAAATGGAAACTTCAAGGGAGCATTCCACCCAAAGATGGGCACAATAAAGGATAAAAATGGTAGAGACCTAGTAGATGCTGAAGAGATTGAGATGGAAAGAATACAGGGAAGAACTGTATAAAAAAAGATCTTAATGAACTGGATTACTACAATGGTATGATTAGTCACCTAGAGTCAGACATTCTGGAGTGCCAAGTCAAGTGGGTCTTAAGAAACACTGCTGTTAATAACGCTAGTGGATGGAATGAAATTACAGCAGAACTATTCAAATCCCTAAAGGATGAAGCCATCAAAGTTTTGTATTCATTATGTCAGCAAATCTGGAAGACCCAGCAGTGGCCACAGGACTGGAAAAAGTCAATCCTCATCCCAACCCCCAAGAAGGGTAATACCAAAGAATGTGCTAACCATTGGACAATTGCACTCGTCTCCCATGATAGTAAGGTCATGCTTAAAATTTTGCATTCTAGGCTTCAGCATAATATGACATCAAGAACTTCCAGATGTCCAAGCTGGGTTTAGAAAAGGAAGAGGAGCTAGAGATCAAATTGCCAACATTCGCTGGCTTATAGAGAAAGCAAGGGAACTTCAGAAAAACATCTATCTCTGTTCATTGACTATGCTAAAGCCTTTGTGTGGATCATGTCAAACTGTGGAAAGCTCCTAGAGAGATGGGAATACCAGACCATCTCACTTGTCTCCTGAGAAACCTGTATGTGGGTCAAGAAGCAACAGTTAGAACTCTGTATGGAACAACTGATTGGTTCAAGATTGACAAAGGAGTATGACAGGGCTGTCTGCTGTCAGCCTGTTTAATCTATACACTGAGTGCATCATGAGAAATGTCAGGCTGGATGAGTTACAAGCTGGAATTAAGATAGGCGGGAGAGACATCAACAACCTCAGATTTGTGGATGATACATACCACTCTAATGGCACAAAGCAAAGAGGAACTAAAGAGTCTCTTGATGAGGGTGAAGAAGGGGAGTGAAAGAGCCAGGTTAAGACTAAATATTAAAAACACTAAGATCATGGCATCCACCCCCACCACTGCATGGCAAATAGAAGGGGAAAAGGTGGTAGTGACAGATTTCCTCTTCTTGGGCTCCAAAATCTCTGCAGACATTGACTGCAGCCACGAAATCAGAAGACAATTGCTTCTTGGCAGGAAAGCAATGACAAACCTAGACAGCATATTGAAAAGCAGAGACATTACTTTGACGTCAAAGGTCCGTGTATAGTCAAAGCAATGGCCTTCCCAGTGGTCACATGCAGTTGTGAGAGTTGGACCATAAAGAAGTCAAAACACTAAAGAATTGATGCCTTCGAACTATGGTACTGGAGAAGACTCCTGAAAGTCCCTTGGACTGCAAGGAGATCAAACCAGTCAATCTTAAAGGAAATCAACCCTGAATATTCATTGGAAGGACTGATGCTGAAGCTGAAGCTCCAATACTTTGACCACCTGATAAGAAGAGCCAACTCATTGGAAAGACAGTGATGCTGGGAAAGATTGAGGGCAGGAGGAGAAGGGGGCAGCAGAGGATGAAACGGTTGGATGGCATCACTGACTCAATGGACATGAGCTTGAGTAATCTCTGGGAGATAGTGAAGGACAGGGAAGCCTGGCGTGCTGCAGTCCATGGGGTCGCAAAGAGCTGGACATGACTTAGTGACTGAACGACAGCAACAAAAAAATAAGAGACCATTGTTTCTTCCTCATCGTGGGTGAGTTTAACCCATTTTCAGTTAATATTATTGATATGCTTTTGTTTCTACCTTTTTTTTTTTTTTTTTGGCAGGGGGACTTTCTATTTATCATGCCTTTTTTCTGCAACTTTCACCTTTCCTGCTTTGTTGGATTTATGAAGTTTTCATTATTCCTCTCTTCAGATTTTTAAGTTATACATTATATTTGTTTTTCTAGTTACCATTACATTTTTTTCACCTTATAAGGCCTTATCCTTTTTCAGAACTCAAGGATTCCTAATTTCAGATCTCCCTTTTCCATGTTCTGTGTTTTCTTCTTTTCATTATCCATTTCATATTTAATTCTTAAAAATTACCATGTATGATATAAACAGAAAAAATGGAGCAGATTCACTGGTGGAAAAAATGCCCTAAAAGAGAAACAAAGGATTTTTCAGTGATCTTTTTATAAAGCTAAACAAGAAAGAAAATCTCAATGTATGACAAACTCTTGGAGGTGGGAAAAATTAAGGGATTTCTCCATTAGACTGTGTATGGCTGTTTCAGCCTGAGAATACAGAGTAGGGAGTTCTGGGAATGTTTGGATGGAGCTAAGCATACTTTTGGTTTTCTTCTTGTCAAAATCTTGTACAGTCTGACAATGAGGTCAGTGACAAAAGCTTTCAAGGTGGCAATTTATATTTGTCTAGTACTGGAAATAAATTTTTAACTTGCTTATTGTATTTCTTCTTTCACTTATGGAAGGGAGCAAATTACAGAACCTAGACCACAAGCTTCCTGATGTATTACACTTAAAACTCCCTTATTTTAGGGACTTCTCTGGTGGTCCAGTGGGTAATATTCCATGTTCCCAAGGCAGGGGGTCCGGGTTCAATCCCTGGTCAGGGAATTATATCTCATATGCCACAACTAAGAGTTCACATGCCACAACTAAAGATTCCTTATTTTATTCACAGATCTTTACACACTTCTTGCCACATCTTTACACATTTCTTGCCTACACAGCTGCTCTTCCAAGGGAACCTCACGTCATGCTGACAACAATAGAGCTCCCTACTTCCTCTTCAAATGTGTCCTCCTATAGTCTTAAGTAATTTGGAGTTTCTTAGATGAGAAGCATGGGTATGGGAAGGGGAGATAGGATGGGGATGGGAAGCACTAAGCAAGGCAAAATGAGGATTTCATGTAGGAAATGAGAAAACTGTTGAGTTGAAAAAAGGCAAATTCCATAACTATAAGTACTTAAAGAATTCCCAGGACTTCCCTGGTGGTCCAGTGGCTAAGACTCTGCACTTCCACTGCAGGGGGTACCGGTTTGATCCTAGGTGGGGACCTAAGATCCCTCATGCCATGTGGCCAAAAACAGAATTCCCTGTGTGGCTGGCAAACTGATTCTGAAGACAATTCCAAAATAAGGTAACAAAGATTTGGGGAACTGAAAGAGTGTAAACAATATGTAGTCTCCTAAAATAACTGGCAAACTGTTAAAGAAAAAAAGGTATGTGATGACATTTGTTAAAGATGACAAATGACAAGGTAGACTTTCTTCAGGACCAGTGAGATAGGCAGAGGGACCATTGCAATGGGATTTTAGTCAGGCTCAACTCTGAATATACTGTGGACAAGTGGGTATTTACAGCCAAGGAGTAGGGTAGGAGTCAGTGAATGGAAAATTACTAAGAGAAAACATTAGGGAAAAGAAGGGAAAACATTAGGGGTAAAGGAGGGTTCTGGCTAAATCGTCCTAACAGGATTCTTGCCGAAACAGGCCAGGGCAATCAGACATTACCTGAAGGATGATGGAGGATGAGAAATCTGATCAGACACTAAGGGTGGAGAGTTCTGTTTAAAATGAACTCTCTTTTTAGCAGGGTTCTTGCTAAAAATAGATTTTTTAAGAAAGTGTTCAGGTGAGCCTCAGAAAGTTTCAGGAACCTGACTAAAGTTTAGTCAAGCAAAAGAATATTCATTAAAAGATTTAATTTAGATCCTTAAGTTCTAGTATGTTTGTTCAAAAAAGCACTAGCATTCATTTATAATCATTACTCAACATTACTCTTCAAAACATGGTTAATGAAAGAAAAGCAATGTAAAAAAGTTGTAACTGAGCCTAAACTTGAAAAGGCCTGATTTCTGAATTTAGGATCAAGCTGTTTTGCCACAACTCAAAAAAAGGCATAAAAGTTTTTTAACATTATTAAGGAATGTTGTGTACAATAATAAAAACTGTAGCTTAAATAATGATTGGTTTATCCTTTTAAGGGAATATTTGGAATTTACCAAATGTCACATTCCAAAGTTGCTAAACAAAACATAACCAACAAAAGTGCTCTTTTCAACTCAATTAATGTGCCTATGGAAACTTTCCATATGCTGTCACATGGAAAATTCCAGGCAGTTCTAAGAGCTAAACCTGTATCAATCTCTTAACAAGAAAACAAAAAATAGATCCCAAAACTTGCTCCCTGAAAGTTGCAAAGTATCACGATACCCTACTTTATTAAGATGACATTCAGATGATACCCTAGGTAACTCCTACTCGAGCTATGCTTACACCTTAGGTGGATACATCAATGAAAAAGAACAGGGATATCTGAAGTCCAAATCTTTTATTTACATACTTCTTTAAATACTTCCTTTTCCACAACTGAGTACTTAGTGTATAGAATACAACTGCTTTCACCATCTCAATTGATATCTTGTTAAATTATACACACATGTAATTCTATAAATCTTTATAACAAGTTTTAGAATTAAAGAGGAGACTCTGAGATTCAATAACACTGCCATACCCATTAAAAGTGCCAGCGAATGGATGAAAATATTACTGAAATTCATACTATATCTTAAACCACATTTTTTCACTTGCATGTTACTATTCAGATTGGAAGAAAAAGTGTGATATTTACTTCAGAAACTCTTAATAGATATAATTTAATATATAAACTTATTTTATATTCATACTTGCATAATTATATAATTTGTTATAAAAATAATCAGAGATGCTAAATGTAGTTTTCACTGATTCCTTGATTGTTTAATTTATGCTTTCCAAGGTCTAAGTTTTATCATTATAAATTAACATTTTCTGTGATCTTTCCTCTAAAAACTTTATCACTTCCAGAACATGACTGGCATTGATTTTTTTTATGGAAATTTATTCTTTCAGTTCCTTCAAATTGTTGATTTCTCTTCACCATGAATTCTCTACTCAATAACTTATCAAATATTAAAGCTTTCTCATATTCATAAGTGAATGTTACATATGAATTTTCTGATGTACAATAAGATTTGACTTCTGGGAAAATGATTTCCCACATTTGCTACATTCATAGGGCCTTTCTCCTGTATGAGTTATTTGATGTCTAAGGAGATGAGACTTCTTGATGAAGGCTTTGCCACATTTAATACATCCATAAGGTTTCTCTCCTGTATGAATTCTTTGATGGGTAACAAGCACAGAACTGTTGCCAAAGGCTTTGCCACATACAATGCATTGATATGGTTTCTCTCCTGTATGAAATTTAGAGTGTTTATAAAGGGATGAACTATACCTGAACGTTTTCCCACATTCCTTACATTCAAATGAGTTCTCAAGTGTATGCGATTTCATGTGTTGATTAAAGGAAGAATTCCAAGTGAATGATTTTCCACACTGACTGCATTCATAAGGCTTCTCTCCAGTGTGGAGTCTCTGATGGACCACGAGCTGTGCTTTATGTGTAAACGCTTTTCCACAATCACTGCACACAAAGGGTCTCTCTCTGTTATGAATTTTCTGATGAGTGGCAAGGTGTGTCTTGCTGCTATAGGCTTTCCCACAGTTGTTGCATTCAAACAGTTTTTTTCTTGTATGATTTTTTTCATGTCTAATGAAATTAAATTTCTTTTTGAAGGCTTTCCCACATTCATTGCATTCATCAGAGTGTTCTCCATTATAACATCTATTATAATTAAGAAAGTCCAAAGTAGGTTGCAAACTCTTCCCATATGACTTACATTTATATGACTTTTCTCTTGTAGGATTAAGACTTGTGCTCATATTATAACCATGAAGTCTCTCCACAGTCTGAATTTTATTGAACATGAACAAAACTGAATTTAAAAAATTGTCTTTGCTTTTCTGGTGCTTGTCTGATTCATCAACAAGTGGGCAGTCAGCTTCTAAAAAGGAGTACAATGAAATGTTCCTAGTTAATTTTTGCCATTGACAGTCATAGAAAGAAACTTGATTTCAAATCTAGTCTCATTCTGAAACAAGTATGTTTTCACCTTGCTCCTGAACTTCAAGAATAAAACTAAAAAAAAACAAAAAACAAACAAACAAAAAAAGAATAAAACTGCTAGGGAGGAAAAAAGGAGACAGAATGACTGTGAGAATGGGTGGCTTAACTTGTGACCTGAAGAAAAAAACAACAACAACAGTAAAATAGCACAAGGTAGTGAGGAGAGTACAAAGAAAATCAAAAAGTTGCTCAACAGGGTGTACGGTCAACTCACAGAACAAAGACAGCCCACTGTGGAGATGTGATCAAGGGACAGGGAGAGGAATAAGAGACAATGGAGTTAAGGGAAAATTAGATTTGGAAGAGGGAGATCAGAATCAGAATCCTCACTACATAATTCCTAGATCACCCTGGTAGAATACCTCCCTTTTTTCTGCATTCATATCTCTTTTTTCCTCTTGGTTATCTGGCACAATATCAGTTCCCTTCAAGAACATTTTTATATCTCCAGCCCTCTGCTGCTGCTGCTAAGTCGCCTCAGTCGTGTCCGACTCTATGCGACCCCATAGACGGCAGCCCACCAGGCTCCTCCGTCCCTGGGATTTTCCAGGCAAGAACACTGAAATGGGTTGCCATTTCCTTCTCCCTCTCCAGTCCTCTAACCTTATCCAAAAGAGGTTGGTGGAGTAAGACTGCAAATCCAGATAAGCTGACTACATTATTAGAACTAGATGTACGGAAAGATCTGCCATCATGTTGAGGAGGAAAGAACAATGAGGATTCTAGGAATTGAGAGAACCAACAAGCACTTCGATGCAATGGGCAGTGTGAGGAGTCAAATCGGAGCGGCAGGACGTCCCCCTACACAAGAGCTGCGGAAGAGAGAGAGCGGCCACGTGGGAGAGTGGAACTGGAGGTGTCATTTGGGGATCTGAGGATGTCATGTCAAGTGCACCCAGTCACTCCCAAAGGTATGTGCTTCCTAAAAAGTGTTTCAAAGATGCCAGTCCCTCACTCACCAACTGGGACCCCAATTTCAAAGACTCCCATCTTCCTGGTTTGCTCTGACTCACCTGGAGAGCTCCAACGTGAGTTCTCTCCCTCCACCATCCATGGTTCTTGTCCTTGCTCCACCTTGAATATCACTGTTGTTTCAGTAACTGGACACCCTGTTCCTGGGAAACAACACAGAACTGGGGACAAAGTGCTACGAACAACTACCTCATAATTCGGGTTTGCCTCCTGGCGTCTTAGGGCCTGTGAAGACTGACAAACAGGCTTCAGAACAGAAAAGACCCTTCTTCACTTAGGAGGCAGAAGCATAAACACAGTACGTGATCCCCAAAGGAGATTAAGAATCTTTGACTAATGAAGTTCAAGGCCAAACTTACTAATGCTTCAGAATGTTCACAGCTTTCACAGGTCTTAAAGGAAGGGTACTGTTAAAACATTCTGAGTTACAACTAAAAAGTTACCACCCACTGTCCTTACCCACTGAGATGAGGTTTCTAAAGTTCTCCAACATCACATCCCAATACAGGGTTCTCTGATCACAGTCAAGCAGCTGCCACTCCTCTGGGGTGAATTCCACAGCCACATCCTGGAGTGTCACTGATCCCTGTAATAGTACATGGATCTTCAAACTAAAGTGTGCATCATTTGGGGACTTATAAGAGTCATGGCAGCCTCTTAGGATCATATCATGTTCATTGATGAGTTTTCAAAGTTATGTATGAAAACTACTATACACCTGATTCAGAAATTACTTTGTGATAGAAACAAAAATTATATTAAAAATATTCAAATAGTATCAGAACAATTCAATAGCAGAAAGAATAGTCTTTTAAACGAATGTTGTTGGGACAGTTGGATATCCACATGCAAAAGAGTGAAGTTGGACTCCCTCCAACCTCCAACCCGCACACCTCATATCATAATAAAAGAAAGTGAAGTTGCTCAGTCGTGTCTGACTCCGTGACCCCATGGACTGTAGCCTACCAGGCTTCTCTGTCCATGGGATTTTCCAGGCAAGAGTACTGGAGTGGGTTGCCATTTCCTTCTTTAGGGGATCTTCCCAACCTAGGGATCGAACCCAGGTCTCCCGCATTGTAGGCAGAAGCCTTTACCCTCTGAGCCACCAGAGAAGTCATCATAATAAAAATGAACTAAAAATGGATCAGAGACCCAATGTAAGCATGGTTTAAACTACAGTGGTTAAAACTAACCCTTGAACAACTTGGGGGTTAGGGTGTCAATCCTCCCCACAGCCAAAAATCCACATAAGTTTACAGGTACCTCCATATCTGTGGTTCCACAACCATGAATTCAGTGAACCACAGGTCATGTAGTACTACAGTATGTATTTACTGGAAAAAACCTGCACATAAGTGGACCCACACAGTTCAAAGCTGTGTTAATCAAGGGTCAACTGTATATAATTCTGACATGAAAACAAGGGAGTAAATCTTTATGACCTAGGATTAGGTAAAAGTTTCTTAGACATGATAGAAGAAGTGTGATAAAAGAAAAAATAGATAAATTGGAATTTATCAAAATTAAGCATTTTTGTGCTTCAAAGGACACCATGAAGAATGTGAAACTGACAACTCACAAAATAGCAGGAAATATTTGTAAATCATCTATCTGAAAAGAGAGTTGTCTCTAAAATAAAAAGAATTCTTACAACAATAAAAAGAAAACTCAATCTAAAAATCGGCAAAGGATTTGAACAGACATTTTTCCAAAGACAGATATGATCCAAAAGCACATGAAAAGATGTACAAATCAAAATCACAATGAGATATCACTTTACATGCAATAGAATGGCTAAAATCAAAGGCAGACAATGACAAGTTTTTCACAAGGGTAGGGAGAAACTAGAACTCTCATACACTGCTGATGGAATTGTAAAATGGTGCAGCAACTATGGAAAACAATTTAGGAGTTTTTCAAAACATTAAACATAGAGTTACCATATACCCAGCAATTTTTCCTAGGTATATACCCAAAAGAGTTGGGAATATATGTCCACACAAAAACCATACACACATGTCCATGGCAGAATTCATAGCAGGCAAAAGTGGTAACAATATGGGTATTGAGCAAGTAATAAATGAATAAACAAAATGAGGTATATCCATATGATCCAATATTATTCAGTACTAAAAAGGACTCTATGACATAGATGATCCTTGAAAATATTGTGCTAGGTGAAAGAAGCCAGTCACAAGAGATCACATATTGTATAGTTCCATTTGTATGAAATTTTCAGAACAGGCAAATCCATAAAAACATAAAGTAATTCAGGGCTGGGGGAAGGAAGGAATGGAGAGTAACTGTTAATGGGTATGGGGTTTCTTTTGAGGATATGAAAATGTTCTGAGATTAGTGATGACAGTTTCACAATTGTGCTAATATACAGATTTTAAGGTGATCAACTTATAATAAGTGAATTGTCTTAATAAAATTATTTTAAAATATTACTTATATGTTCTTCATTCATTTACTCATATAATATTTAATGAGGACACACCAAGTACAGTACTAGTGACACAAAAAAGAAAAAAATTATTACTGCCCTCAGCAATTTTACAGCTTATTAAACACTACAAAATAAATGTATAAAGGTAATTAGATGTTAAATTGGCTATAAGGTTAATAGGCTAGACTTATATAAGCATAATAAAATAGAAAAACAGATTTTTATATGATGAAATATATCCTAACCATGAATCAAAATCATTTTTAATTTAAACTGAAATTAAAAAGGCACATAGCAACATTTCTAAGCTTTTTTTTAATGCCACAGAAATAATTTTATTTACAAGAAATATAATTTTGTAAATAAAATGTAACTGGAAAACAGTTATGCCTATTTGTTTTACTTCAACTACAAGGGCAGAGTTGAGTAGCTGTCACAGAAGGTATATAACCTTCAAGCCTAAAATATTTACTGTTTGTCCCTTTAAGGGGAACAGTATTAGAAATTCTTTAAACTGTTATGTTAAAAGCAAGAAATATATTATTGACAAGTATAAAAGTATATGAGGAAAAAAGTTCCCAATTTATTAAAATAATCTTAATAAGCTAAGAATCCTTAACTTGATTAAAAATAAAAAAACGAAGAATAACTATCTACCAGAATATTAAGACACTGGAAGAATTGCCATTAAAAGTGGACCAGAAAAGATTTTGGCTAGCAATTATATTCAAAATTATAGTACTAGAAATCCTGTCCATTGCAATAAGACAAAAAAAAAAGGAGATAAGCAAATACGGGACAAAACTCCATTTGAAGAGTATATGATTGTCTATCTAGAAAACCTAAGAATAAACTAAAAAACTCTTAGACTTAGTAAGACTTCTGTAAGTTGAATAAAGTCAAACAGGCAAATCCATACTTTCCTATGCACCAGAATAGCCAGTTAGAAAATATTATGAAAAAAATATTCATCCCATTCTCAATACCAACTTAAACCATGTGTAAGAATAAACATTATAAGAAATGAATAAGAATTACCATAAAAACCTATACAACTATAATGAAGGACCA